TATTTTGTAAAGGGCAGAAAACTAATTGCATTTTTCTACAAGAGACTCATTCTTCGGACTCGGATGAATCTTTCTGGACTAATCAATGGGGGGAGAAGATGTTTTTCAGCCATGGGTCTAACCGTTCTGGAGGAGTGGCAATATGTTTCAACAAATGTCCGGGGGAAATCATCGTTCATAAAGATGATGGAAGTGGGCACTGGTTGATGGTGGTACTGAAAATTGATGGGTTTTTTTTTTTTCATTCTAATTAATATTTATGGATTCAACAATGCTGCACTAAACCAGAAATTAGTAGAAGATATTTCTAATATGATCTCTGAAACTAAAGTGAGGTACCCATCTGATAATGTGTTGATAGGAGGGGATTGGAATATGGTTCCTGACGAGTGGAAAGATAGATGGCCTCCCAGACTTAACAAGGGGTGGCTTAATGCCAGTGTTGATTTTTTGATGACTGAAAAAAATTTGAGTGATGTTTGGCGACACTTAAATCCTGAGGTGGAATGCTTTTCATGGTTTAAACCAAATGGGGAGAGCAAATCTAGGATTGATTATTGGATGGTCAGTGATAACATTCTAAAATATGCTTCAAAATCTGCAATTTCTAAAGCTCCGTTAACGGATCATTGTTTCATAGATCTTGTTTTACAACCAACAACTAAGCATTTTAGAAACAAAGGTTATTGGAAGTTCAATGCCTTCCTTTTACAAAATGAAGAATTTTGCAATAAAATTAAGGCGTTAATAAGAGATATAGAGATAAATAATTCTTTTGATTCTAATATAAATATATGGGAATTTCTAAAATTTAAAATTCGTGAATTTTCAATTGGTTTCTCTAAGAAACTAATAAAAGAAAAAAGAGAATTTGAAAGAAATTTAATCTGTGAAATAAATCAATGTTGTAACAAACCTATTTTAAATGATTATGAAAATGGTAAGGTGATTGAGCTGCAAAGTAAATTAGATCATTTATATGTTGAGAGGGCACAGGGTGCTTATATAAGATCGCGCGCCAAGTGGATTGAGGAAGGTGAGAAGAACTCTTCTTACTTCAGCAATTTAGAAAAAAATAGGCAACAAAAGAACTCTGTCAGTAGTTTAATGATCCAAGGAGAGGAATGCAAAGATCCTAAAATAATTGAAAAAGAAGTGTTTCAGTACTATTCCAAATTATATTCCTCAGATTTCTCCTCCTATGAGGCAGATCTTTTTTTTGCTCAAATTCAAAACAATATTCCACGTATTGAGGACTCTTTCAAAGTTTTATGTGATTCGGATCTTAAAATAGAAGAATTGGATTCAGTTGTTGAGAAGATGCCTTTAAACAAATCCCCAGGGACAGATGGGCTCACTAATAATTTTTTAAAATATTTTTGGGGGGATTTGAGAAATCTATTATTCTCCGCCATAAAAGAAGGTATTGGAAAAAAAAGAGTTGATTGAAAGTATGAAGCAAGGCTTGATTACATTGATTCCAAAAGCTGGTAAAGATAAAAGAGTCTTAGACAATCTGAGGCCTATCACTTTGCTTAACGTTGATTATAAAATCTTTTCGGGGGCTATCGCTGCTAGGCTGAAAAAGGGTATTTCTACTATAATTAGTGAGACACAATCAGGTTTTTTGGGTGGAAGGTCCATTCACAATAATATTAGATTGGTTTTAGATTTACTTGATTATAGTGAAATGGTTCAAGAGAGTGGGTTTCTTATTTTTTTAGATTTTTAGAAAGCTTTTGATGCTGTTGAACATCCTTTTATTTTGAAAACTTTACATAATTTTGGTTTTGGAGTAAAATTTATAAATTTAATTGAAATGCTATATAACGGAATCAATAGCTCTGTAGCTCTAGGGCATGGAACCTGCTCAAGATTTCCAATTAAAAGAGGGATTCGTCAGGGATATGGTAGCTCTCCATTATTATTTATAATGGTTGCAGAGTTATTATCGATATTGATTAAAAATAATGGTATGGAAGGTCTTACAGTGTTGGATAGTCACGTTGTTTCTAAAAAATGAACAACAAATTCCACTAGCTTTACAGTCTATTAACCAGTTTTCTAAAGCCTCGGGGCTACATTTAAACCTAAACAAATGTGTAATTTTATCTTTGCATGAGTTTCCTTTGCAGTCATTATATAATATACAAATTAAAAGGGAAGTTAAATATTTGGGGATTATAATTTCTAAAGATAAAGAGGTAATGGAGACTAAAAATGTGTTGAACAACTTAGATAAATGTAAGTCCATTCTAAATAGATGGCTGCAGAGGGATCTTACGATATTTGGAAGGGTTCTTTTATCTAAAATGGATAGTTTGTCCAGACTCATCTATCCAGCCTTCTCCTTACCCATATCGTCACGAATGATTAAATTAATAAATAAAGCTAATTTTAAATTTATTTGGAGAAATAAATGTCAGTACATAAGAACGGATGACATGATTAAAAGATATGAAGATGGTGGGGCGAATGCTATAGATTTTGACATTATGAATGGTGTTTTGAAATTGAAATGGTTAAAATCCTTCATTCAAAATAGCCACTCCTTTTGGTTTATTGTCCCCAATGCTATCTTTAACAAACTGGGGGGAATACATTTTTTGTTGTGACTTTGAGTGCACCTCGTTACCAGTTAAACTTTCAGCCTTTCATCAGCAAGTGCTGCTCTATTGGAAATTATTGTTCAAACATAACTTCACGCCTCACAACACTCCGGTTTGGAATTGTAGATATATAAAGTTGGGCAGAAAATCTGTGTATCTTGAGGAATGGAAATCTAAAGGGATTTGGGCTATTGCTCATTTCTTGGATGAGAATGGAAATCTGTTACTGTATAGAGAGTTTTGTGAGAAATTCCAAGTACAGTGTACCGTTGATATGTTTAATAGAATGATTAGAGCCATACCAATTCCTTTAAGATTAATGATTAAAGAAGACATGTTGTACTCTCAAATCTCCCCAGATCTGAGACAGCTCTCCTTAGATGGTTATGATTTTTGCGATAAAAAATGTACAAATAAAGTTATTAGAAATTGTATTTTACAGGCTAACTACCCAAACCCAATTAGACGGCATTACGTGCTTAAAGATTTTGATACGGTAGGAGGTGAACTTCAAAATTTTAAACGAAATTTATCCTACTAATGAATTTTTGAGATTGAAATTTAATTTTGAGGTAAATAATTGTGTTTTTTGTGAAAAAAATATTGAGAATTTAGAGCATGTCTTCTTTGATTGTGAAATGGTGCAACCCTTTTGGAGTGAGGTGCAGAACTGGTTAGTGGCTAGGAGGGTTGAACTTCCACCTCTCTCGGTGAAGTTAATTAGGTTTGGTGTTTGTCTGGATAACAATGATTGTGAGTTTGTTATTAATTTCTTGTTATGTTTTGGAAAGTTTTTCATACACAAATGCAGATGGTTTAAATCTAAACCCAACTTTAATCACAGGTTGAATGAGGTGAAACTCTTGTGCAATTCTCTAAAATTAGTTAAAAATCAGAAAGCCCTAAAATTGATTTCTCTTTTGGATAGGTTTAAATTAATTTAAAAGTCCCTTGTTATATTTATTTATTTTATTTTTCCTTCTTTGTATTTTTTTTGTATTGCTTTTAATTATTTGTTTGTTCTAGTCTGTTTTTTTTTTCTTTCCTCTGTTGTGATGCTCAACTGTAGGCTGTATAATTGAGATTATTTGCTGAGATGTGTTAATGTACCTTGTTGTTTTCTGTTGTTGAAGAATAAAAAAAATAATAATAATAATAATTAAAAAAATAAAATAAAAATAAAACTCGTGAGATGAACTAATCATTCCTCTTTCCGGTACTGACAGCATAGACTCGACAGGAAGAACGAAAGACTCGGACCCGCCGAACCCGAACTCGAGAGATGAACTAATCATTTCTCTTTCCGGTACTGACAGCATAGACTCTATGGGACTGACAGGAAGAACGAAAGTCTCGGACCCGACCGAACCCGGACTAGAGAGATGAACTAATCTTTAATCTTTCCGGTCCTGCTATATCGCATGGCACGGCCCAGACAGCACAGATCAGTCAGACACTGACGAGTCAACACGTCTCGAGACACGAGAGGAGAAGAACAAACCTGATAAATATGAAGTTCCAAAGGAAAGAACGTCTCGGATCAGGAGGTGAGGTGAACTATAACAGAATCAGACGGCAATAGCCTGAACTTAAGACCCAGCAACTAATTAATACAGTTATTTCAGTTGCTTTTGGCTTTGGCTGCATTACCCTAGTTATTTATGTTATTTTTACAAATGTAATTAAGATTTTCGTAAGTAGCCTACTATGTTTTGGGATATTTAACATGACATTTTAATTATATAATTATGAAATGACCGAAATGACTCGATAAAAGATTCGTTCATTTTACTGAACGTGACTCAAAGATCCGAGTCAGTAAAATGATCCGAACTTCCCATCAGGATGCAACATTTCCAGTCAGTCGGTCTCCTTCTCTTGCACCATGGTCATCGTTAGCTTCAGGCTGCCGCCTGTCTGATTGGTTGTGTTCACGAGCTGGGTGGGACTTACAATTTGATTGGGTTCATCTGATGTTTGTCACTGACTGAATAACTAATAAATACTTTAGATCGGATTAAACCATCAGACCGGGAGGATATACGCAGCACTACTGCTCGGTCAGTGTGGTAAATATTAATCATGCCTAATAATATGTTATATCGGATAAATAATAAATATAGCAATTGTTTATAAAAAAACAACTATATATATATATATATATATAATAACTAAAATAAGTTATTTTATATATATATATAAGTTATTTTAACTTATATATATAAGTTATTTTTAAGTTATTTTATATATTTAAGTTATTTTGAAGTTATTTTATTTTGAAGTTATTTTATATATTTAAGTTATTTTATAAGTTATTTTAAGTTATAAAATAACTTATATAAAATAACTATATATATATATATTTTTTTTTTAATTAGGTTTGCAAGCAGGTCTTCTTTGAGGTTGATACATTGATGAAATTCAGGTGAGTTGAATGTTTATGCACTTTCTGGAGAATGATATGCATTGAAGGTTTTACTAATACAACTTTAAAACTTTTGTTTGGACAATTCAAGTGAGTGTGTAAACATATAATATTTAGTAGAAGTGTCTTGGTGCACTAACTGCTATCCTTTAATGACAAAAGAACATTAATGAAGAATCGATTATATTGTCAATTTGTCCCTATAGGGAGAGAGAGAGAGGGAGGGAGGGAGGGATTTTTTGAAAAAACTTTATTCACAAGTAGCCAAAAAAACACATCAATCCACATTTTGAATTGATGGAATTCAAATCTAAAGTGCTTTGGTGGCCATTGAGTCTGTGAAAGTGCTAAATAAATGCAGTCCATACCATTTTCACAAAGCAGATATCATTATTATTATTAATAATTTATATTTACTTCAGAATCAAAAAATTAAATAATCTTCAATTATTGTACACAACACATCATGACTGGACCATCTCATTTTAAAAGTTAAAAGGTTGCATTATAAAAGCTGAAATCAATCAACATTCCTAAAACCCACAATCACATCATCATTACACCCTTGCTCTAGTTTACTTTTTTTCTACTCGTATAAATCGCCAATTTAGCTTGTCCAAAAATACAATTCAGTAATTGAAACTCGATACGTTTTATCTGCGCATACTTGAAACCAAAAATAAAAGTTTCAGGATAAAAATTCTCATTTAACTTGTCACACATTTCTTGAACAAACACAAATAAAGGTTTAAGCCTTCATCAGTACAATCAGTACATAAAAGCATGAAAGACAGTCTCTTTTTAAAGACAAAAAGGACAACCAGAGCTGTTATTAGAATTCAATACAGATATAGGCCTCAATGTATTGACAGCAATGGCTCCATGAAGAATTCTTTTTTAATAATGGTGGTTTATATAACACTCTCCATTCAGGTTTTACATCATTGCATAATTTAGAAACTGAATGCCATGGGGTATCAATTCTTTTGTTTATTATTATTTTTATATATATTTATTATTTTTTTTGTTAAGGATAAGAACACACATTTTATACAGGTTTTTTCTTTTACAGGAAAAAATATTTTTCTTGTTTTAATAAAATACCCGAACACTTCAAAATTCGTCTGAAACAGGGAAATGGGTCTTCGCTATCAGGGAGACTGGCCCCCGGAAAAAAGTCCCCCAAAGATTTTTTTTCTTCAATTGGAAAGGTTTCCATTAGCTTGTTTACAAAACGAGTGATCGAGCGAATAGACCATAGTCCCATTTTTTTTTGTAACAGGCTCTAAAGTGAGGTCCTGTCAAATACACTAATTGACTTAACACAACCACTCTGAGTTTTGTAGCGCCTTGCTGAATCCCTGTCGAAAAGTATTATTAAATTGTCTGCTATATACTGCTGTATATGTATTTTATTATCTCTAAACTCTTTATTGTGATGCTCCTCCAACAGACACTCTAAGTAACTTTGCAACTACATGTCAACTTATTCTTACCCTAAGCGAGTATTAATAGACTGGTAGGGTTAGGGTAAGAATAAGTTGACATAGTTGCAAAGTTGCTTATAGTCAGTAGAGTGTCTGTTGGAGGAGCATCACAAGCAGACTTAGTCTCTACTAACACTAATGAGAGTTAGTTGACTTATAGCCAACAGAATGTGTTAAAGGGACCATCAAAATAAAGTGAAGCCAAACATTCAAATAGGTATTTCCTTATATGAATTATAGTTAATTACTCTTAGCCTATTTACAACATACTATTTTATCATTACAATATCAATATATGTGTTTCTTTGTTTAAACGAGGATGATAAATTAAAAATGATTCCTTCATATGCTGTGTTGTTCTGTCTTATTTCAGGATGGCCATGCGTGTGGTTTTGTTTCTAACACTTTTAACTGGGCTGCGTGTCGTTGATTCCAAAGGTACGGTTAAAATAATATAAGTAAAAAGGCCTGGATTTGAAAATCTGTAATCATTGTGTATGGGGTGAGAATTGTTGCATTATTCCAAATAAACAAGATTCACAAAAATATATCAAATTCACAAATAAATAGATTAAGATCCACAAATAAATGTAAAGAGTTTCACAAAAAAATATAAAACTCACAAATAAATAAAATTAGATTTGTAAATTAAAAAAATATATTTACAAATGTGTTTCATGTCACAAACACAACTCTACCTGGCAATTATTTGTGAATCGGTTCCTGTGCATTTGTAAATCCCCTCACACATCTGTGGATTTTGAAACACTTCTAGTGTTGACGTGCAGAAAAATCCACAAATAGTGGACTCCACGTTCCAAAAAGCATACTCAATGAGTAGGTAGTTAATTTCAATGAGTATACTTACTTAACGAAAGAGGTACTTTAAAAGAGGCTAAAAGAGGTACTTTATAGCCAAATCTTGTTGAGTATGAATGCGATCCAGTCCAAATTTGTCATGCCCTTCACTCGCTAACTTCCCTCCGTCCCGTTTACTCGGATGTCCGTCATTGCTTACGTTGCACGACTGCCCACTACTGGCGGAAACTGCAATGGGCTGAACTGGAACGTCCTAAGCCCTTGATCACTTTGAATCAGCTATGAGTTGATTTATTTGTAACTTTTTTCCCTTTAAAGGTGCCATATGTAATAATTGAGGTAAAAATATACAGGAAATGAGCTACACGCATCAAAAGAATGAGAAGAAATAAGTGCAATGATGTCATTTTAAAAAACTGACAAGTTATAGTGCTGCCGAGATATAAACCTGAATTAGCATGCTAAATTACTAGCCCCGGCCCGTCAGGTGTCGTAATACCAGTTTCGGCCATGGGAGGCGGTATGCGGGCGGGCAACATTACCACCAGCCAAACTGCAATAGATGAGTAAGTTGCGCAGCTTATGTGTGTACTTGAACCTGATGTCAGTCAGTCGTGTGGAAATACAGCCCACTACTACATTTCAGTTCAGGGATGAGTTAAAAAAATGATTGGTCGACATCATGCATGAGGAATACATTTTGGTAAGTTGTAGCATACTGTAGCCTATCTTTCAACAGTGTTCATGTCCTTTTTCCATTAGCTAGTAGAGATGATCGGTTCACGTGCGTTAGGGATGTGGTGTAACATGTACAAGCGCCAAAACTGTATTTATTGTTTGAATTGCGTAATAAAATTGACAGAATCTGAGAGCTTAACTAACCTGCTGGATAAGTGTCAATTGCGTGTGTCTCACGGTGAATTGGCTTTATGCACAGCTGCACTACTTCCTGAACTTCAGCCAGCTCCTTGTTTCCTGTCTGCCATTATTGGCCAAACTTGATTAATGCAGGTGTGTCTGATTATTGTTGCCATGACTACTGAGGTCAGGCACACCTGAATTAATAAATTTGTCCTATAATGGCAGACAGGAAACAAGGAGCTGGCTGAAATTCAGGAAGTAGTGCAGCTGGGCATAAAGCCAATTCGTGAGAGTTGGCACTTGGCAGCTCTGAATGGCGCTAGCTTGATCTATATCAGCGAATGCTGTCTGTCAAATTAATTCAAACTAACAATAAAAGTGTAATATGAACAAAACGAATACCGTAAACTTAAAATAATAGCCCAGGCTTTTATTTTCCTATATCGTCGAAATGCACCAGCTTCATCATTTAGTGTTGAGATGTTGAGATGATCTCTAAAAATCTCCAAATGCTCCACGTCAAACTGCGGTCTTCCGACCTTTTACTATCGTGTCAAATGATTTGAATAATATGCGGAGAAAGAGAGAGCAAAACAGCGCTAGCTTGTGTTGTTTGAAGACGTGAGAGTGCGCGCGGCCGCGGCACAACTCAATTTCTGGAGGTATACTGCCCCCATCTGGTATGGAAAATGGAATATGTTTTGATTTTTAGTTCCAGATGGCACCTTTAAGAATTTGTTTAATGCAGCATCCACATGTGTATAGGTGTGCTTGGGTTGTTTTAAATAAATAAATAAATATATAATTAATATATCATAGAGTGGTTTATTGTGGTTGTGATTTGACGATCTGTTGTTAGGTGCAGCAAAAGAGTCGATACCAAAAAGACGAGGCAGTTTTAGAAAGAAAATTGTCCCGAGGTGGACACAAGAATGCACAAAGGTAATTAAAGAGAGACATAAAGCATTTAAAATCCTGAAAAGAACACATAACTTCCAGAATTTAATTGAGTATAAGAGGAAGCAGGCTGTAGTAAGAAAGACAATAGAGAGAGTTAAGAAAAACTTTTGGGGGAAGTATTGTGAATCTCTAGGAAGAAGTACACCATTAGATGGGGTATGATTAAGAGAATGTCAGGAAATAAAAGAGAGTATGGTTATCCTATAATGAAAGCTAATAATAATTACCTTTGCTCTCCTATAATAGAGAGCAAAGGTAAAGCAGAGTTGCTGGCAAGGACATTTGTTAAAATACATAATAGTAATTTGAGTAATGAGGAAAAGATACAGAGGGAGAAAACAATAAGAAATAGTGTTGAAGTAATACAGGATGGTGGGGATAATGAAAGTACCATAAATGTGATGTTTACAGTGGGTGAGTTGAATAATGTCTTAAGAAAATCGGGAAAAACAACGCCAGAGAATGATCACATAAGTTATTGTATGATAAAAAATTTAAATGATGAGAATAAAGAAACGTTATTAAAGTTATATAATAAGGTATTTGCCAAAACAGTGGAAAGAATCAATTATTGTTCCTATATTGTGGGTCGCAGTAAGAGTAGGGACAGAATTGAGTACAAAGTATTTAGTGGAAAATGGAACTCCTCAAGGGAGTATAGTTAGTCCAGTTTTGTTTTCAATTATGATAAATGAAGTGTTTAGTAAAGCTGTTGATAGATCTATAAGTGTTGCTTTATTTGCAGATGAAGGTGTTATGTGGAAAAAGGGAATACATATAGAATATATAGTCAGGAAGATGCAAGAGGCAATTGGGAAGGTAGAGAGTTGGGTAATGGAATGGCGTTTTAGGTTTTCAGCGGTAAAGACTAAAGTAATCCACCTGCCTTTTTGAGACACTCCATCTGCTCTTATGAGTCCCTCCATCACTCCATCTGCCCCTTATGAGTCGGTGGAGGGATGGAGGGACTCATAAGGGGCACATGAAGGGATGGAGGGACTCATAAGGGGCAGGTGGAGTGATGGAGGGACTCATAAGGGCAGATGGAGTAATGGAGGGACTCATAAGGGCAGATGGAGTGATGGAGGGACTCATAAGGGGCGGATGGAGTGATGGAGGGACTCATAAGGGCCGGTGGAGTGATGGAGGGACTCATAAGGGGCAGATGGAGTAATTGAGGGTCTCATAAGGGCAAGTGGAGTGATGGAGGGACTCATAAGGGCAGATGGAGGGATGGAGGGACTCATAAGGGCTGGTGGAGTGATGGAGGGACTCATAAGGGGCAGATGGAGGGATGGAGGGTCTCACAAGGGGCAGATGGAGTGATGGAGGGACTCATAAGGGCAGATGGAGTGATGGAGGGACTCATAAGGGAAGGTGGAGTGATGGAGGGACTCATAAGTGACAGATGGAGTGATGGAGGGACTCATAAGGGACAGATGGAGTGATGGAGGGACTCATAAGGAGCAGATGGAGTGATGGAGGGACTCATAAGGAGCAGATGGAGTGATGGAGGGACTCATAAGGGCAGGTGGAGTGATGGAGAGACTCATAAGGGACAGATGGAGTGATGGAGGGACTCATAAGGGCAGGTGGAGGGATGGAGGGACTCATAAGGGGCGGATGGATGGAGTGATGGAGGGACTCATAACGGGCAGATGGAGGGATGGAAGGACTCATAAGGGGCAGATGGAGGGACTAATAAGGGCAGGATGGAGGGATGGATGGAGTGATGGAGGGACTCATAAGGGCAGATGGAGGGATGAAGGGACTCATAAGGGCAGATGGAGTGATAGAGGGACTCATAAGGGCAGATGGAGCGATGGAGGGACTCATAAGGGCAGATGGAGGGATGGAGGGACTCATAAGGGCCGGTGGAGTGATGGAGGGACTCATAAGGGGCAGGTGGAGGGATTGAGGGTCTCATAAGGACCAGTGGAGTGATGGAGGGACTCATAAGGGCCGGTGGAGTGATGAAGGGACTCATAAGGGCAGATGGAGTGATTGAGGGTCTCATAAGGGCCAGTGGAGTGATGGAGGGACTCATAAGGGCCGGTGGAGTGATGGAGAGACTCATAAGGGACAGATGGAGTGATGGAGGGACTCATAAGGGCAGGTGGAGGGATGGAGGGACTCATAAGGGCAGGTGGAGGGATGGAGGGACTCATAAAGGCAGATGGAGTGATGGAGGGACTCATAAGGGGAGATGGAGGAATGGAGGGACTCATAAGGGCTGGTGGAGTGATGGAGGGACTCATAAGGGGCAGATGGAGGGATGGAGAGACTCGTAAGGGACAGATGGAGTGATGGAGGGATTCATAAGGGCAGGTGGAGGGATGGAGGGACTCATAAAGGCAGATGGAGTGATGGAGGGACTCATAAGGGGCAGATGGAGGGATGGAGGGACTCATAAGGGCTGGTGGAGTGATGGACGGACTCATAAGGGCAGATGGAGTGATGGAGGGACTCGTAAGGTACAGATGGAGTGATGGAGGGACTCATAAGGGCAGGTGGAGGGATGGAGAGACTCATAAGGGCAGATGGAGGGACTCATAAGGGCAGGTGGAGGGATGGAGGGACTCATAAGGGCAGATGGAGGGACTCATAAGGGGCAGATGGATGGATGGAGTGATGGAGGGACTCATAAGGGCAGGTGGAGGGATGGAGGGCCTCATAAGGGCTGGTGGAGGGATGGAGAGACTCATAAGGGCAGATGGAGGGACTCATAAGGGCAGATGGAGGGACTCATAAGGGCAGGTGGAGGGATGGAGGGCCTCATAAGGGCAGGTGGAGGGATG